AATTTCATTTTTTCCCTAGAATCTTGACTGATCTTAAACCCAGATCTTTTGACTCTAAAGTAGGTAGGTTAACACAATTAACACACTGCCAAGGAGACAGCTCTGATGAAATTTTTTAGAAATTATGGGGAGAAGATAAATGAAGCAAACTAACTCCTAGGAATACATAATTAAAATGGGCAAAGAAGAAAAAACTGAAAATTTCTGTTAATAGCTGACATTAATATAGTCCGGAAGGAAGTATTTAGAAACATTCTACAATTCTAGAATGAAAACAAAATGATGATTAGGTGTAGGATAAACTCAAATGCACATTCAACTCCCTCACTCTTTCAAAAACAAGTACAACATACTGAGGGCCAACTAGTGTTCAGCACTGAGCTGGTGTTTCAAACAAATCCTACTCTTTATGTAAAGATTTATATAAGATTACTGTAAATTAATGGAAATGTTAGATTAGAAAACATTCTAATCTAACAATTGCTATTATTCATATACACCAATTACTACAATTACCAATAATCTTATAATTATTCATAGAAATGAGAGGAAATGTTTGGCTAAATGTGTATTGATGTCAGTTGAAAAATAACTTGGATAACTTTAATGCAGGAACCCAAAGGGTCTTAACGTGAAACACAGCCATTTTGATTTCCTCTCCCTTCGGTTTCTGTTGGAGCTCAAATCAAGCCTGATGTAAGTCATGTTTCTACCCCCTAAATAGATAATGATAAGCAGCAGAAAGGTAAGCAGCAGGAGAAAGCAAAGAGACTGTCATCTCATCACAAGGTAACAGCATGGAGGCTTAGAAAGCAACTTTTCTTAAATCAACTTTCCTACACTGGAAAGATTTTGGTCATCAGTTTCATATACACCCAAATTATATTTAACTGAGAGATGTATGATCCGTAAATCTCACCTCAGAAAAGAGATACAAAAGATAGTAGGCAAAATCCGAACACAATTAATTCCTCTGGCCTATTAAAGTATTCTTTCCTAAACAGAATCAGAATAAGAGGGCTATCAAAAAAGACTTAGAAAACTTTTGTTCTATAAAAAGAATATTTTGGAAATGTCACTTTTATGGTGTTTGATCGCTACACCAACAGAATTCTTCTAGACAGATCCTCCTTTCCTCTCCAACTCCTCTATTTCTCTACAAAAGTTCCTTCCTTAACTTATTTATTTCATGTCTTAGTAAACTGGCATTCTCTCAGATATTGCATATTTGCTAATAAATTCCAATAATAAACTTACTGTTGTTAACAAATATAACTTGGGAACCTAATGTCAAATATAAAAACAAAACTCAAGTTTAGGTCATTTTTACTGATGATTTAATAATTCAGCCATACAAAATTATGAGAGTAACAGAGAAGTGTATCTCTAAAACTATATAATGAATTATATAATGATAATGTCTTACTAAAAGTATTGAAATAGAGATAGACAGCAAGTTAAACATCCTTGTTTTATACGTAAGACCTTTCTTCTTTTTAAAATTTTCTTCTAATATTTCTGTGTTGTTAAATCTACAATGAGCATATATTAGCTGTTACCCTTCCTAAGTCTAACTCCCCTATAACGCTATCAATCCCATACTCTCTAGAACCTCACACTTCAGAGTGTGATCCACAGACTGCGAGCATCAGCATTAATTTCAAGTTTATCAGTTATACTGTTATCTCAAAACCCAGACCTATTGAATCAAAATCTACATTTTAACAAGATCCCCACTAAAGTTTGAGACCCACTATGCTAGGCTCCTCCGTGACTATGGCTGGCTTACTCTATTACTTGTGACGTGAACCCTCTGCTGTCCACTGCTATTTCCCCTCATGAAATAAATAACTCAAGTCACCAAGTTACATTTTAACAAGATCCCCACTAAAGTTTGAGACCCACTATGCTAGGCTCCTCCGTGACTATGGCTGGCTTACTCTATTACTTGTGACTTGAACCCTCTGCTGTCCACTGCTATTTCCCCTCATGAAATAAATAACTCAAGTCACCAAGTTCTTTAAAAACAGACAAGAAAATAAAACAAAAGCAAATGATGATACCCTAATATTGTATATTTATCTCTCCTTCCAGTTACAGCCAAATCTTCACACCCCGAAATACTTCTGAAACCACAATCTGGCTTATATGTTCACTTAAATTACTGAGGTTACCAAGGCCTACAAAGTAAGAAAGGAAAGGAATGTAAAGGAAAGGAAAAGAAGGGAAAGGAACAGAACAGAATGGAAAGGAAAGGAGGGAGGGGAAGGGTGATGACCACATCCTTTAAAACACTCATTAACCATTCCTACTCTCTTTCTTTCTCCTGATTATTTTCTTACTTTTCTGGCTATCTCTGCTTCTTGAAGTTCTTTTTCCTCACTGTACTCATTCTCCCACAGCAATTTATGCTTATGTATGGCTTAAATGATCACCTACATGTTGTTGATCCTCACCCCAAATCATACTCCCTACTCCCAACTATCTTACATATACCTTCAACATATTATAGCTAAAACTAAGCTCTCCAAATCTACACTCTTTCTCCCCAAACATACTCTATTCTCTTGCAATGGCACCCACTAAAACAGGAGAAACCTAGAAGTCATTCTACATCCTATATGG